GTGCAACAAGCGTTTGTGCATAGCTGCCGGCGGATAAAAGGCCAGCCGCCAGTAAACCGATTATTTTTTTCATTGGATGGTTCAGTTGAAGGATGAATCGTTAAAGTAAATGCCGGTTTCCCCGGAAACGGGCCGTTGGAATGTGGCGTTACAGTTTCGTAAAGCGTTTGACAGCCTGCTGGTTGCCGGCGTTGATATGCAGCAGGTACACGCCGGGCTGCAGCGCGTTGGTGTTGAGCTGCAGCTGGTCGCCGGCTTCGTCCGCGTTCAGCTGTTTGCTGAAGATCAGCCGTCCGTCAATGCCGGTCACATCCATCCGGACCGTGCCGGTCAGCTTGCCTACCGGGATATACAGCTCTGAGTTGGTCGGGTTGGGATACGGATCACCGATTCCTTCCCCTAAAGACGCCGGTCCGTTGCCGGTGCCGGTCGGCTTGACGCCGGTCGCACCCATGCACATGGTAAAGCAATACGGGGCCTGCGCATCGCAGGGCGCCAGGGGCTGTGCGCAGATGGCATAGGAACCGCTGCTGCTCGGAAAGGTATGTGTTACCGGGTTGTCGCCGTTAGACAGCGTGTTCGGGCTGCCGTCGTTCCAGCTCCATTCGATATCCATGGGCATCATGCCTGCGCCCACGACCGTGCTCGGTGTGAAGGTATAGGTATAAGGTGTGGATAGCGCGGTGCAGAACTGCAGGTCATGGATCGTGCAGGGGCCGGAAACAGGCGGCGGAATGGAACCGCACAGGGCGCTGACATCGCCTGCCGTCATTGCTCCGTCGTAGATCCACAGCTCGTCCATGATGCCGTTAAACCGGTACGGCCAGCTGAAGCTGCTGGCGCGGCCGATCAACATGTAGCCGGTAAAAGCAGGGGGGGCATACTGATTGGTCCAGGTAGTGCTATAGAACAGCGCGCCGTTGATATAGGTAGACATGATGCCTGCGTCATACGTGGCCGTCAGGCAGTACCAGACACCCGTGCTGAGCGGGTAGGTGATCGGGTAAGAGTTGACGGCGGGTCCGGTGCCGGCTGCCATGCCGAAAAACTGCTTGCCGCCGGGTGTGGCCACGGAGCAACTGTTGTCGATGTTGTTGTCGTTGACCTCCAGGCTATAGAAGTCGTTGCTACCCTGAACGCCGCGCTCCATGATCTTGGTGACCTGGCAACGGGAAGGGTCGTCGTTAAACTGGTTGAACATCACTGTAGCGGAGATGGTCCACGATGTCAGATGTAGTCTTGGGTCGTCTGCCACATCCGCAAAGGTGGAGACGCCGTCAAATTTCAACGCGGTGTTGGCCACGCCCGCTACGCCGGCCGCTGGCGTAATGGAATTGTAGATGTTACCGTTGATGCCGTTTTGCACGTCATACAGGATACCGCCGGTTACATTGCTGAAATCATAATGGGCAACCGGGACCTGGGCATAGGAACCTAGGGCCAGCAGCGTGGAAGCCAGTAGAAGAGTGGTTTTTTTCATGGTGTTTTTTCAGTTGAGGGATGAATGGTTGTAGGAAACATTCCGGTCATGCCGGAACTGCGTTGCTGGCTGGTCGGACAAGTGGGGGGGGCTGTTCGCCTTACTGCCGTAAGGCTGGGGAAATGATTGAAACATAGCTTTTTCTATTTGACCACAACCTATATCCGTATTCGCTGGTTTGCCGGAAAACTTAATGAACGGGCAGAAAACTTAATGAACGGGCAGAAAAGGAACAGTAACCCTTGAAAAGCTACGCCGGCCGCCACCTGATTTGAGGGCCGTCAGCTGCCCGGTCAACTCCCGCTCCGTGTAACTGAAAAAGGTCCGTTTATGCCCTCAGCGTGCCTTTGGCTGGAGCTGGTCTGATAAATGGAGAAATGATTTTAGGAAGATCATGATGCAGGCTAACAAGATGATGGCATTGAAGTGCTGCACCTTGTTTTCGTGGCTCACAATGCACCTTCGGTAGTTGAACAGCCAGGCGAAGAAACGCGCTACCTTCCATCTGCGTTTATAGCAGTGCAGCTTCCTTCGGTCCTGCATAGGCTTTTTCACCCTGCCACGCCGGTGTGGCGCAATAAGTTCGATACCTTGTTCGCTCAGTCGCTGATCCAACCCATCGCTGTCGTAGGCCTTATCGCCGATGAGCCTCTCGGGCAGGGCCTCCACAAAGCGCTCTTCCAGTGTCTGGTCAAGAAGGCTTTTCGATTGAAGTTGGGTGGAATGTAGCTTTAATCTTTGTTTCGTAGATTTTACGGATGATAGATTCTTCCTTTCTGACTATTTGACCAATGAAAGAGCTGCATGTGCCGGGCTGTTGCATGGTTGCGAACCATTTACCGTTAAATGTCTCAACACGTCCGCAACGCGTGTCGAAAAAAGTTGAAGCGCAATTATGTTTTTTGCTATTGGTTGTGTAGGCTTAGTTTTGTACCAGAATTACCGGGTTCGATTTTTGAATGGCCTTTACAATTGTCTGCATAGCGAAACCATGAAGTATAAATGTCTGATTGTTGAGAATGATCCTCTGGAGCGCGACCTTCTGGAAATGCTGCTTCGTAAAATAGAGTCAGCAGAGATTGTAGCGGTTTGCGAGAACGGTATGTCTGCCATGCAGGTACTATTGCGGGAGGAAGTAGATCTTGTATTCACAGATATAGATATGCCTGAGCTGTCTGGGATTGATTTGCTAAAGAGCCTGAAAAATCCACCGGCATTTGTGTTTATCAGTGCTCATGGAAAATTTGCGGTGGAGGGGTTTGACCTGGATGTGGCTGACTTTATATTGAAGCCCGTAACTGCTTACCGGTTGCTCAAAGCTTTTGGTAAAGCAAAGGTGTTACATGATAAGAGAGCAGTGCAAGGAGTGGTAACGACCCATCTGCCAATTGAAGAAGAGGGGGTGTTTTTTGCCCGCACCTCGGATGGATTACAAAAGCTGTTACTCCAATCGATCTTGTTTGCAGAAAGCAAGGCCAATTTTTCCGTACTCCATATGGAAGATGGCAGCCGTCATATGATCCTTGTGGGATTAAAACAATTACAGGAGCAA